TATATATATATTAATTTTTATGATATCTTCAAATTTACATTTTATTAAGAAAAACATTATTGTTTGCTCAAAACCACATAAATTCGTATTATAACATCGACAGAGACCAAAAAAATAAAATAAAATATTAAAATCGAGATATATCTTGCTGCATTGCTCGAGTATCCTTCTAGTCTTATAAAATGTAATTGAACAAGAGGTAAAGATTCTCTATATCGATACTAATAAGATTCTATTAGTTATATATACCTTCCAACAAAAATACCTGTATGCATAAAAAAACCACAGGTTCGGTTGGATGGCTGCTTCTAGGCAAACCTGCTGGCGTCCCCCGTTGTTCCTTTGTAGCTCAGTTGTAGAGCGGTCAGATATACATTGGTTATATTTCATCTCTTCAACAAGTTTTGTAATGAACATAACGACTCCAATCTTTGCAATTGATGTTCGATCTCGTAGAGAAGGAAGAGATCTTCGGAAAGTCGGTCCGTCGTTGCATTAGTATCTCGGGGTTTGCAACGGCTGCCAATATATCTTGCGGTAACCAAAATGTCAGATTATGGTGAAACAGAAGAAAAGGAACTGCGAATTAAAATAATTATCTCAAACATAACGGGAAGACATAGAAATTACTTTTTATGTTTTCCACCAGTGAGATTGAATTTTTAATATTTTTATATAAAGTTTTCTAAAAAGTGTATTGAGATGATAAAATTATATAATATTTTAGTAATATAATTAATATTGAATTTTCAAAATAAAAATGGCAAATTGCATGAAAAAGTAACGTACTTTAACTTTCTTTATATTTTGGATAACGTAGTTTCAGAACTTTCATTTTGGTACCTACGATGTAAAGTTTTAAACATTTATGTATACAAGTAACCGGTTGAAGCATTAACCGATTTACCATGTTGATGTGGTATCCAGTTAATGCTTCAACAAATAATATTGAGTTGGATACCACATCACTCGCCGCATCAGCATGGTAATTGGTTGATGCTTCAACCGATTATCCGAGTACTTAAATGTTTAAAACTTTACATCTTAGGTACCAAAATGAAAGTTTTGAAAGTACGTTATCCAAAATAGAAATCAAGTTAAAGTACGTTGCTTTTTTATGCAATTTGCCTAAATAAAAAACCTGTTAAAGTATGAAATATATATATTTTAAGTTCTAACTTTTTTTTTTGAAAGAAATTATAGACGTAGATTTAAGGGTCATTTGTCAAACACTTACTTAGGTAAACGCTTACAAGTAAAAGTCTCCACCCTCACAGCCTCACTTACCTTATCAGTATCATTTTCGGTCATCAAAATAGATTGTTGGTAAACATAT